TCACTATGAGTCAGAAGCTACTCAATGGCACCTAACAACAACAACAAAAAAAACAATTGGTTGATGTTCAGCCATTCCAAGAGGTACCATATGACCAAGAACTGATGTTATCGAAGGAAGAAGTCCAAGGTGCACCAAAGATATTGACAAAAACAAGCCTTCAGAAATTAATGGGATACAAATTCAACAAGTTGTAGAATTGAACACTTGTAGTTATGACTTCAAATTTGCCTCTGAACTTCCTAGTAATCAAAGCAAAGAGAAAAACACAAAATGTTACTAGGCTCCCATAAAAAAAACTCATTTGCCATCAAGTCAATTCTGATTCATAGTGACCCTATAGGACAGAGAAGAACTGTCGCATAAGGTTTCTTTCAAAAAAAAACAAAACTTTTTATTGTGATTTGGGTGAAATTTTATAGAGCAAATTGGTTTTCCTTTTAACAGTCCATACACATTTTGTTTCATGACATTGATTATAATTCCCACAATGTAACAACACTCTTTCCACTTCCTTCCTATTTTTCCCATTTCCATTCATCCTTCTTTCCCTTCCTACCTTCTGAGCTTTATCCCTGGGCAAATGCTGCCCTTTTCATCTCGTATGGTTGCTTGTTCTAAGGGGTGCAGACCTCCCTGGTGTTAGTGTTCACCTTATAGGCCTGTCTATTGTTTGGTTGAAAGTTGAGCCATGGGGGTGAGTTCAGTTCCAGGCTTCAAGAATGTTTAAAGGCTACAGTCGTGGGGGTTCCACCAGTTTCTATCAAACCAGTAAGCCTATCCATTTTTATGATTTTTGAATTTTGTTCCACATTTTTCTCCCAGGAAAAACAAGGTCCTCTATCTGGGACCTTCTACTGTGATCCCTTTCGCAGTGGTCAATAGTGGTAACTGGGCACCATCTAGTTCTTCTGGTCTCAGTAACAAAGAGGCTGAGGTTCATATGGTCCATTAGTCCTTTGGACTAATTGTTTCCATGTGTCTTTGATTTTTCTTCACTCTGCTTTGCTTTGGACAGGGAGAGAACAATAGTTGCACCTTAGCTGGCTGCTCATAAGCTTTCAAGACCCTAGTCACTACTCACCAAAGTAAGATATAGAACATTGTCTTACAGACTGTGTTGCACCAATTGACCTTGATGTCCCCTGAGACTATGGTCCTGAGCCCCCAGGCCTAGCAACTCATTCCTTCAAAGTGATTGGTTATAGCTAAAAAGTTTTCATAATTTGCCCTGTGTGTTGTAATATATTCATGGATATATTTGCATGATATATAAATAAACCAAACTAAACCAAACTCACTGCTATTGAGTCAATTCCAACCCATAGCGACCCCCATTGGGTTTCTGAGGCTGTAAATCTTTACAGAAGTAGATCACCCTGTCTTCCTTCTGTGGAATAGCTGGTGGGTTTGAGCTGCTGACCTTCGGTTACCAGCCAAATGCCTTATCCACTACATCACCAGAGCTCCTTCACATATAAATAGATATGTAGCAATATCCTCTGTCACACCTATACATATTTGTGGGTGTATTATCATTTGCCTTACTATACCTGTTCAGCTTGCATATCTATCTATATATCCACTTGTAATGCAACACACATTCCTGATAAAAATGCTCAGCAAAACAGGAATAGAAGGGAAATTCCTCAACATAATTGAGTGCTTATATACAAAACCAAGGAGCTCTGGTACCATAGTGCCTAAGGCACTCAACTGCTAACCAGAAGGCTGGCAGTTCAAACCCACCAGCCACTCCTCAGAAGGAAGATGGGGCAATCTACTTCCATAGTGTTAATGCCTCAGAAACCCAAGGACGGATCGCTATGAGTCAGGTCCAACTTGATGGCACATAACAGCAACAACAACATATACAAAACCAACAGCCAACATTCTTCTCAATGTAAATAGACAGAAAACATTCCCCCTTGCAAATGGGAACCAGCAAGGGTACCCTTTATCACCACTGCTATTTAATATTGTATTGGAAGTACTAGCCAGAGCAATAGGGCAATGTAGGGAAACTAAAGGCATCCAAAGTAGAAAAGAAGTAAAACTATCTCTATTTGCAGATATATGATCCTGTATGTAGAAGATACCAGAGACTCCACAAGAAAACTACTGGAACTGATAGAAAGATTTGGCAGGGTACAAGATCAACTCCAAAAGAATTAGTCTGATTCCTTTATACTAACAAAGAGAACTCTGAAAAGGAAATCAGGAAGACAATGCCATTTACAATAGCCATTCAAAAGATAAAGTAGTTAGGAATAAATCTAACCAGAGATATAAAACACCTACACAAAGAAAACTATAAAATACTACTACAAGAAGCCAAAAGAGACCTACATAAATGGAAGTATATACTATACTTATTGTTGTGAAAATGTCAATACTACCCAAAGCAATTTCAGATATACTGAAATCCCAATCCAGATTCCATCATCATTCTTTAAAGAGATGGAAAAACTAATCACCAGCTTTAAATGGAATGGAAAGAGACTGGATAAGCAAAACACTGCTAAAGAAGAACAAAGTAGGAGGCCTCACACTCCTCAGTCTCAAAATGTACTTTATAACCACAGTAGGCAAAATAGTCTGGTATTGATATAACAACAGACACATAGCCCAGTCAAACAATTGAGAACCCAGAAGTAAATCCATCCACTTATGGACAGCTGATCTTTGACAAAGGCTGAAACCCATTAAAAGGGACAGAGATAGTCTCTTTAACAAATGTTGTTGTTGTTGTTGTTATGTGCCGTCAAGTCGGACCCTACTCATGGTGACCCCTCCTTGGGTTTCCAAGGCAGTATCACTACGGAAGTAGATTGCCCCATCTTCCTTCTGAGGAGTGGCTGGTGGGTTTGAACCGTCAGCCTTCTGGTTAGCAGTCAAGTGCCTTAGGCACTAAGCTACCAGAGCTCCCTTTAACAAATAGTGCTGGCAAAACTGGATAGCCACTTGCAGAAACACAAAATAGATTCCATATCTCTCACCACATACAAAAACTAACTCAAGATGGATCAAAGACCTAAATGTAAAACCTAAAATTACAAAGATCATCACAGAAAAAATAGGGGCAAACTTAGGGGCCCTAATACATGGCATAAACACATTATCAAACATAACTAAAAATGCACAAACAGCAGAAGCAAGCTAGATAACTGGGATCTCCTAAAAATTAAACATTTATGCACATTGAAATATTTCATCAAAAGAATGAAAACAGAACCTACAGATTTAAGAAGGCTTTTTTTTAAAATGTTAAAAAGGAAAAATGTCACTTTGAGGACTAACATGCACCTGACCGAAACCATAGTGTTTTCAGTCACCTGATATGCATGTGAAAGCTGAACAATGAATAAGGATTGCCAGGGAAAAAGTGATGCCTTTGAATTATGGGGTTGGTGAAGAATATTGAATATACCATGAACTGCCAGAGGAACAAACCAATTTGCTTGGAAGAAGTACGGCCAGGATGCTCCTTAGAAGTGAGGATCACAAGACTTCATCTCATGTGCTTTGTACTTATCAGTCCCTGGAGGAGGACATTATGCTTGGTAAAGTAAAGGGTCAGTGAAAAAGAGGAAGACCTTCAATGAGATGTATTGACACAGTGGCTGCAACAATGGTTTCAAGCATGGCAACAATTGTGAGGACGGTGCAGGACTGGACAGTGTTTTGTTCTGTTGTACATGGGGTCACTTTGAGTCAGAACCAACTCAATGACACCTCACAACAAAACAGCATTGTTGCTGAGGACTGAATTATTCTAGTCAGTTAGCCAGTCTGAACAACATTCCTCAAAAGCCATCTCTCTTCCTCAAAAAACATGTGTATGTGTCTAATTTTTTTTCCATAAGGGCGTCCTGAAGGACAGGATTGTCGTAGTGTTTCTACTGAAATGACTACTTGGAGTCTAAGAGGGGAGGAGTTACAGAACAAACAAACCCCGTCCAGTTGCTGTTGAGTCATTTCCAAATCATGGTTGACCCCGTATGTTTCAGAGTGGAACTGTGCTACATCGGGTTTTCATAGCTGTGATCTTTCAGAAGCAGATCACCAGGGCTTTCTTCCAAGGCACCTCTGTCTGGGTTCAAACCACCAACCTCTTGGTTGGTAGCTAAGTGCTTAACCATTTGTGCCACTCAGGGACTTCAAGCAGGAGATCAGGGACCCAGAAATCTGCACAGACGTGGCCATGTGGACTTCTTTGCCAGAGCAGCTGCTTGTGGCCCGGGCTCTCCTGATGGAGTGAAGGAGGCTGACAAGCTGACTTCAGGGCTTAGGGTGTATATATATCTGAGACACAACAAATAGTGCCTACCTCTTAAGGTTTTTGAGACAGTGAGTGCTTTGAATCCCTCTTGACCTCTAGCCCTGAAATAATTCTGTAGCTCTCCCTATCTTGGAGGTCTTGAGCTTCAGGATGAAGGTGGCATCTGAGGCAGAGCCTGCCCCTTTGGATGCTGCCTAAAAGACTTAGACCTGTGTTCTCTGTCCAAACTACCACATTTTCCTCTTAGGGCATTTCCATCCTCTGGTTGTTTTCTTAGGGTTGACATCACGATGACCATAATAACAAAGGGTTGGGAGAAAGAAGGGAGGAGCTATTAGCCACAAGTGTTTTTTCTGTCAGTCTTATTACTCAATGCATAGCTGTTTTGGAGAGCTGTTGGTGTCCTGGATGAAGATCAGGGGAAGGGAGAATGAGGATAAGAACTAATTCCTGTCCGTATATTTATTTGTTTGTTTACCAGCAGCCCATGTTGTTGCTCCTACAGCACTGTGCTCATATCTGTGTTTAGTACTTACGGTTTATAACCATCACACATAAAGACACATATACAATGATGTTAGGTTATTTGTCATGGATTCCCAATTTGTCACACTTTGGAAATATTCAAGTTTGTTGAATGGCTGAATAAGCTGCATGATCTTATCTACTTACTGAAAAACGCTACCTGACTAATTTGTTCTAATTTTTTCCCACTCAGAAAGAAGATCTTCAAATATATTTTAAATACCACAAGAACCTGCCCCGAGCTAGGGCAATCTGGCAAGAGTGTCAAGACTGTGCCTACTTTGGGGTAACGTTGGCATCACAAAGTCTCCCACAGATAGCACAGATAGTTCTCTCTGGAAAATGTTTGTGTGCACTGAAGTTTTAAAGAAATAAAAATCACAAAGCAGTCAGAGGAAGTTGGCATATATTTTTATTAAATTTGTGTTTCTTAAAAAGTCTGTCATATTTTGAAATTACACATTGAAATTTCCATGTTCCCCTGAGTTGCTATGAATAGGCCTGTGAGGAGAAACTGTAATCTGATGAGAAAACCAGGGTCCTCTTCTAGAATAGATTTTTAAAATGGAACCAAGTTAAACGTGTCACATTTGGGGGCCCCAGGGATGATACCAACAAGCCATCATGTGCCCTCCAGCCTCAAAATGACCTGAACAGATGCCCCACCACCAACTTGAAGACGGTTGCTTTCATTTCAGAAGGACCTGAAATGCCCCACTGTCTTCTAGCGGGCTTGCTTTCTAAAAGGAATAAATGGTCCTGTTTCTCTAGTTGCCTGTAAAAATACTAGCCAAGCCATCTCCTTTCCTCTTTCTCTCACTTCACACACTGCTCCTGAGGGACTGAACATTTTGAAACTGGTCAGCACAGCCACCCCCTTGTCCACGAAGAGCCTATTTCATTTCTTGTATTTGAAAGCTGCCACGTTTGTTCTGCATGTTGTTTGTTTTATGTTGTTTCTGTTTGGCTTTTAAAGGTGTGCCAGCGCCAACTGGATCACAATCTCCCTCTTTTTAAGTATCTTAGAGGACCAAGCCAGAGACTTATAAAATACCAGATGCTATTGAAGGTAAAGTCAAGGAAACAGTGCTTTTCTGTTTGGGGGAATCAGATGCCTGGTCTATAGTGCTAATTTTCTTAGACATTTAGAATTGTGACTTGGTCTTCCAAGGCTAGAGATGTGTCCATTCCTTGGCTTTTCCTTTCCTGAAAGTCTGTATCAGCCTCTTCAGTGAGAAATAAGACTGAAAGAATGATAGCACTGGAAGACACCCTGGTGCCTGATTAGTCCAACACCCAGTCCAGGCCAGGAGTCTCTAAGAAGTATGACTTAGAGGAGGAGAGGTTGCTGGGAGCAACAGAGTAGGGAAGACAGCCAGCCTTCTGGAAGCTGAGAAGGTGAGGAAAGAAGGCAGCCAGAGTACCCCTGGACCATCTGACCCACCTGTACTCACAGACATGTAAGATACCATCTCCATTTTCCAGGTGAAGCAACGAGCTTCTGGTTAGCAGTCAAGTGCCTTAGGCACTATGCTACCAGAGCTCCCAATTTCCCCAACATCACTATTTATATGCATTACAACAATGGAAAGAAGGCGGCAAAACTGAATTCTTTCCTTTGCAACATGCATCTTTAGATTTAGGATCTTTTCCTGAGAGCTGAATAACAGAATGAGTTTTGCTCTGTCTAAACCCCTAAGCGGTTCTCTCTCTCTCTCACTCATCCTCATCCTCCTTACTGGTGAGGCCTTGCCAGCAGCAGATCTACAGATCAGCTCTCCCAGACACCCCACATCACAGGGATCTGTCAGGATGGCTTCCCGTGTGAGCCTGAAGGAAAGGTCTGGGGCCTACAAGTTATAGTTTGAGTTAACCTATATAAAGCATTTGAGGTTGTTCTTGCCCAGGAGCTATGATCTCTTCATAATAAATGAGCACCTACTGTTTGCTGGCTGCCTGCTCTGTAATCCCCACAAAGAAATGTATAAGAAAGACTCTGGAGTGTAAAGAAACTGAAGCTCTGGAAGTTAGGTGCATTGTCCACCATCCTGCCCTCAGAAAAGTTCCTCCTTCCAGTTTCCACCAGCAATCCCAGCCTCAGCTGTACCGGCTCTGCTGCTCACCAGTTCTGGACTACTTGACTTCTTAGGCCTCGTTTTTCTTGTATGTAAATTAGGGAACCAGAACTTCCTCCAGAGGGTTGTTATGAGGAGCAAGTGAGTAATGCATGTAAAGAACTTGGCACAGTGCTCACTCTCAAGGATCCTCCCTTGACTTGTAGTTGTTAATATTGAGATGGAGACATCAGTGTGAGAATGAGAATAGTGATCTATTGCTTCCCTCTGTGAATGGCATTTATGAGCGTATTTGGATCCAGCACTCCTTTAGAGCCTCACAGTCCCCTGACCTTCCATCTTTATTATCACTCAAAGTTTAGAAGTCCTACCTACCACTGGGCCAGTGAGGAGGGAGTAGGACATAGTGGTGGTCTTCGTACCCTTGGTTTGGGTTGCATCTGGTACTCTCAGACTCAAGCTTTCCCACAGAGGTAAAGTTTACATCACAGCTAAGGTGTGTGCCATACACCGAGGGCTGTAAACCAAAAAAGTAGAGCATAGTAACTATAAAAGCAGACTCAGGAATGAGACAGCCTGGGTGTGCATCTGGACTCTGCTGCATCCAGGCTGCATGAACTCAGGCCAGTTAACCTCTCTCTCTCAGCCCAGATTCGCCATCTGTAAAATCAGGATGATAATACGTCCTTGGTGGTAGGCTTGTTGTGAGCGTTAAAAGAGATAATGCATGTTAAAAGTACTTAAAGGAGTGCTATGATTTTCTAAACTTTATTTCACTGAGGAAATAAGAAATAGAATCAATATAATAAAGAAATAGAACCACTGTAAAATATCCCTTATCCCTTGGGTGTCTGTGCAGAACTGTGGGAGGCTAAACGTGCAGCGTGCCTGGCAAACTAAGTTCAAACTGTTGGCACACTTGTGAGGAAAAGAAGAACGTCATAGTATTCTCCAACCCGAGGGATTAGGTTCACTTTGTGGTTCCTACATAATAAATTGTTTGAAAGAGCAGAGATGTTGGACTAATTACCTCATGGTTTAGAAAGGATTGTGGGACTCTGGCATGCAGAAATCCTTCTAAGTATACAGGAAAGGAAGAATGGTAGATTATACCATTTAGAAAAAAGATGCATAAAAGACTTAGGAAAATATTAGTAACATACTTGGCAATGGGTGAGTATGCTTAATTCAGAATGAGCTCTTTGAAATTAGTAATAAGATGAACAAAAGACACCAGTAGTTTACAAAGGAATCAATAACTTTTTTTTTAAGTTCTCAGTCACTGGTTACCTGAGAAATTCAAATGAAAACAACAGTGAGATAGTATTGCTTTGTTTATTTAATTGACAAAGCTTTTTTTTTTAAAAAACTTAAACCTTTTTTGTTAAACGGTGATACCCCACATAGGCTAGGGACTGATAAAATGGGCTTTCATACATAATTGCAAGGAACATAATTATTCTCTAAAGAAGTTGGAAATATGCATGAAAACTTTTCAACATTTACATGTCCACTTCTAGGAATTTATATTTAGGAAAAATGCACAAGGATAATGATAATGATAGTAAAAATTTGGGAATAACACTTTAATTATGGTTTCTACATAGAATATAACAATGTGCTACAATTAAAAATCATCTTTTAGAAAAAAATGTTCATGAAATATAGGTAAGTAAAGCAAACTACAAAATAACGTGTTGTTGTTGTTGTTGTTATGTGCCGTCAAGTCGGCCCCGACTCATAGCGACCCCTCCTTGGGTTTCCGAGGCAGTATCACTACAGAAGTAGGATTGCCCAACCTTCCTTCCGAGGAGTGGCTGGTGGGTTTGAACCGCCAGCCGTCTGGTTAGCAGGCAAGTGTCTTAGCCACTATGCTACCAGAGCTCCCAAATAACATGTAGTGTATGGTTTTTTCCTTTGTGGGAAAAAAAACTGTGCGCCATATGTATCATTTTTTCTTTCCCTTTTACTCATGAGAAACAAACACATTGACCCACATTCTCAGTCAGTTTAGCATCGGCTGGAAAGTTTTTGCCCAGTAGAGTTATTTATTTATTTGTTATGTTTTTTTGATTTTCAATGAGACTTTTGGGTTACTGCAGGGCCTGCTGGATGTTGAGTTTCCTGAAGATTTGGAGATGGAACCAGGTGAATTAGAAGGAGGTTCAGCCAAGGTACTAGATATCAAATATGTTTATATAACTCATGGTTAATGGAATTTTTACATGGGTGAAAGTATTTATGACAGTTTTATTTTCCTTGTTTATGATCTTTCTTTTTGAAATATTCTAAAATAAGTGTATATCATATGGTTCATCTCACTGCCGTCAAGTTGGATCTGACTCATAGTGACCCCTCCTTGGGTTTCCAAGGCGATATCTCTATGGAAGTAGATTGCCTGTCTTCCTTCCAAGGAGTGGCTGGTGGGTTTGAACCGCCAGGCTTCTGTTAGCAGTCAAGTGTCTTAGGCACCATGCCACCAGAGCTCCTTATGGTTCATAGTCAGGAGAAAAAATTAAAGGTAATTTTAAAGTGAGAATTTGCAGCAAGATATGACATAATAATATATTTTTATGGAAATCCAAAATTAAGTGAATGTGTAAAATGCATATATAAAGGGCTAAAAGTAAATATGATAAAGTTTCTGCTGCAGTTTCCCCTAATGGTAGGATTATGAATGATTTATATTTTCTTCTCTGTATGTGTGGGTATTTGTGTGAATTTTAAGAAAGATTGTCAAGGCTCCCTTGGAGGAAATGGTAGCCACTTTAACATGAGGCCCACAGATTAAGAAGAAATTTTGTGGCTTAGCGGCGAGAGTTGTTTTAGATTCCTATAGGATATTCTGGTTTAACTGGTGCAAAAACCTGAAACACATACAAAGTCTCAAGGAACAATCACTTGTCCTCTCTATTTGCTCAGAATATGAGGTGGAGACCCCCTGAAATTAGCAAAAGCTCAAGGCAAGTTAATCATTTCATAGCATGAAGTAAGAGGAGCCAGCCCTGGATCCAAAGAACCAAACTCACTGCCATCAAGTCAATTCCAACTCATAGCGACCCCCATTGGGTTTCTGAGGCTGTGAATCTTGATGGCCCATCTTCCTTCCGTCCATGGAGCAGCTGGTGGGTTTGAACTACTGACCTTCTGGGTAGCAGCCAGATGCCTTTATCCATTACACCACCAGAGTTCCTTAGCCCTGGATAGAAGAGTTTAATAATGTTGCAAGGATTCCCTGAACCCTACATTGCACAATAGAAAACTAGCCACCATCCCCAGGTGTGTTTGTGGGAGGAAGGTTAGTGAAGAAGATGAGGAGCAGGAGCAGGTAAGTCTCTAAGAGGAAATTGAGTTTTACGTGTGGGGTAAGAGGGAAGATGTCTGGTATGAGAACTTTTAATCCTTTAATGATGATGTCAGATAAACTCAGGTGAGAGACTGTTGTCTCTTACCAGGAACTGAAGCGTATTTATTATGAGTGAGAAGGGAAGAGTAGGTTGAGTGGAGGCAGCATGAGCTGTTCCATCCATCATCCCTGTCACTTAGATCTCTGAAACCAAAGATCCTAATACCCAGTGCTTTAGCAGAGAGTACGAAAATACGCAACCTTTTAACTATAGCATGCTGCAGAGGACAAAAAGAGATGGTGCTACATGGGGAACTACAAAGAGCTGTTCGTTCTTTGTTGTGGAATTGAAGTGTTTAAACACACACACACATTCAGGAAACCAGCATCTTTTTATTTGTATTTATCAGGTGGCAGATAAATATCACATGTTGATTGCAAGGAAATAGAATACCGAAACCACAGCAAGAGCCTCTCAAGCTGAAACAATGATCTCCCTTATGTCCTAAGTGTCAAGAGTGATAGTAATTGGACGTGAATCTCTTTAATGAGCAGTTACTACTTTTCCACTGAATGCCAAGTTGTTATGCCTGGGAGATGGAGACTTTGAGTTATCTCTTTGGCATCTTTAGTGTTGGTGGAATGTGGGGAGGGTTGGGGAGGGAGAGAAGGGAGGAGGAGCAGAGCTGGGGGAAACTCAATGTGGCAAATGTGGTTTTAATGACATAAATCATTAGCAAACCTCCATAGGGTGGCTCATTCTTTGCCTCTGAAAATATTCTCATCTGGAATGGTTCTGAGTATAATTTTTACCCACAGGAATAAGACTTCTACCTTAAATATAAGAATACGAAACTCAAGTTGTTCTTTTCAAAAAACCCCTCTCCCTCTGGAGTTGGCATGCAAACTATTTGAAAGCATTGGTTTTCTTTGTGCTTTAAAAAAGCTGAGTTCTGCATATTTTTATGTAGCAGAAATATAATGTCCATGATTTTATGAACATGATTTTATGTACTTTATAAGTACAATGTACAGAAGGTTTGGTAGATGATTTTGCTCATCTGTATATCATGTAAGTCCCTGGGTGGCACAAACGGTTGGACTCAATAGCAAGGCTAAAGGTTGGCAGTTCAAACACACCCAGTTGCTCCCCAGGAGAAAGGCCTGGCAACCAGCTTCTGTAAAGATTACAGTTAAGAAAACTTATGGAGCAGTTCTCCTTTGTAACACATGGGGTTGTCGAAAGTTGGAACAAACTTGTCAGCAATGAGGTTAAGGTTTTAATTTTATATATCATATACTTAAACAGGGAAACAAATAAATGTACTCACCTTCACAGTCACTTTAGTGCTTCATTTCTCTGTCCTGTTATCCTTCTTCACTTGGTGAATAGTATATCTTTTGGTTTCCAACATGGTGTAATACCATTTCCACAGGATGGGCCAAAGAAGACCAAGGATTCCACATTCTCAGCTGAACTACAACAAGCTTTGGTCATGATGGAGGATTTGATTAAGTCTTGTGAGTTGGCTGTGGACCTAGCAGCTGTCACTGGATGTCCGGTATGTTCCTCAGAGAGTGCCAGAACATTTCACATAAATGACAGGAATGATATTACAAAGGTAGGGGATGATGCGGGGGCACAGTTAGAGAAGTAATCTTTGATAAAGGCAAGTAGCCTAAGTCAGTCAGCAAACCCATGCTATGAGGTTCCGAGCAGCCCCTCAGCATTTTTGGGAATCTTAAGTTGTATCCCACAGAGTCCTGGACGTTATCATTGAACCGCATGCTACACAACCAGAAACATATATGGACAGGGGAAAACTGCTGAAGGGGAAATTTGTTTTCTGACTCTTCCTATTATTAAAAGATTTAAAACATTTTCTTTCTTGACTTAGATTTTCTCTGTAGAAAGTGTCTTTTTTAAAAAATGGATCCTAACTGAGAGTCTAATACCATTTTATATCACAGGCCCCAGGAGAAGCTCGACAAGTATATCTTGTACATGCCTTAATCTAAGTGGTCAAGGAAAAAAAAATGAGAGCGAGCATTCAGAGAGAGGCCAGTGCTGCACTTTGGAGAGCTGAGCTGTCTTGACTCCAGCATTACAATTACTTCTGAGCTGACTGGCCTCGGGCATTTCCAGGCAAACCTTGCCTTGGTTTCTTTGCTGGGATATAATTAATATTCCACTGTTCAGAAGGCTGGTGGTTCAAACCCACTAGCCACTCCCCAGAAGGAAGTTTAGCCAATCTACTTCCGTAGTGATACTGCCTCGGAAACCCAAGGAGGGCTCACTCTGAGTCAGATTTGACTTGATGGCAGTTGAGTTTGGTTTTGGTTTTGTTTTCCACTTTAGAGTGCTCTAGTTTTTGGCTCAAGTGTATTAGTTTTTAATCGCTGCCGTAATAAATTAACACAAGCTTGGTGACATAGAACAGCACAAATTCATTATCTTACGGTCCCATAAGAACAGTGGATCAGAAATCCAACACAGTCTCTAAAACAAAAGTGTCAGCAGGCCTGCCTTACTTTTGAGGGACTCTCAGTGATAACTGATTTTCTTACCTTTTTCCAATTTAAAGAGGCCACAGTCCTTGGCTCATGGCTCCCTTTCCCCATCTTCAAAGCCAGCAATGTCAGGCCAAGCACATCGCATCACTCTTGACCATCTCTGCTGCCCCCTCTTCTACTTTTTAAGGGCCCTTTTTGTGTGTGTGTGTGATTACTTTGGGCCTACCTGAACAATCCAGGCTAATCTCCCTAGTGAAAGACAGCTGATTAAAAACAAAAAACCAAACCCACTGCATCAAGTCGATTCCATCTCATAGCAATCCCGTAGGATGGAGCAGAACTGCTTCATAGGGTTTCCAAGGCTGAAATCTTCATGGAAGCAGACTTGTAATATCTTTCTCCCATGGAGCAGCTAGTGGGTTTGAACTGACAACATCTCCATTTGCAATCAAGTGCTTTACCTACTGCACTACCAAACCAAAAGAAAAGAAAAGGAAAAAACCTACTGCCATCAAGTTGGTTCCAACTCATAGTGACCCTCGTTGGTTTTCCAAGGTGGTGAATTTTTACAGAAGTAGCATGCCCCATGGAATAGCTGGTAGGTTTGAACCACCAACCTCTGGTTAGCAGTCAAATGCCTTAGGCACAAATGCACTGCCAGGGCTCCTTAACTCCCCTTTGCCATGTAACGTAACATGTTATAGGTTCCAGATATTAGGACACAGCTATCTTTACAGGGTAGGGGGCATTGTTCTGCTTACCACACAGGGTTCAGACATTCTGAGAATTCTCTGTCAGACAAATACTTAGCTTTTGTTTTCTTCTTTCATTTTCACCTGGTTCATAACATACTGTCACTTGAGGCCCTGCCAATAAAGTGAACTTCCTTTTCTTTCCTTGTCATAAATCAAGCTATTCACATTGATTAGGGGCAACATACTGTGTGATCTTTTCATTTCTTTCCTCTGATATTTTTCTGCCAGCCTCTCTGAAACATTGCCCCACATCTTTCTGTTCTTTTATTTTTATCTTGAAACTTGTGTCAATGACCCTTATCCCTGAATCAAATATATGTAATGGAAACTGTCCACGGGGCAGGAAACTCCCAGCTATTTTTCTGAGTGTAAATCACACAGGAAGAGGAAGTTAATTTAAATATGAGGAAATAGCAGTCTATCCTAATTTCAGTCAGAGGAGGCCAGCTTGCATGCAACTAAGATGAACCAACTTACAGAATTTCAGAGATTTTCTACCAAGTGGAAATGACTTATTCTCAGAATTGTGCCTTTGATGTACATTCTCTGGTTTCTTTTCCCCTAAGACTTTAACTTGGTTTTATATCTAGAATACTAACTAATTTATCCTGACAGTTTTGTGTAATCCTGTCAGATTACAGAGGAGCAGGTATCAGAAATTCAACTTTCCAATTCAGGAGCAGGTCCATGGAAAGCATAGTTAACTCACCCAAGACCGTGTGGACATCAGCCAGGACTACTTCTTGAAACTTCTTACTCCCTATCCAGGGTGCTGCCCTCTCAGCCACACTCCTCATCTGGTTTTGACTAAAGTTTACTAACAGTGGTAACCTAGATTCAATGATTTTGAGATCTCTTGCCTCAGATTTGTGTTGTTCTTGTTATTAGGTGCCATTGAGTCATCTTCAATTCATAGCGACTCTATGTACAGCAGAACGAAAACACTGCCTGGTCCTGTGCCAGCTTCTCGATCCCTGCTGTGACTGAGCCCATCGTTGCAGCCACTGTGTCAATCCATCTTGTTGAGGGCCTTCCCCTCTTTTGCTGACCTTCCACTTTACCAAGCATGATATCCTTCTCCAGGGACTGGTCCCTTCTTACAACATGACCAAAGTAGATGAGATGAAGTCTGGCCATTCTCACTTCCAAAGAGCATTCCAGCTGCACTCCTTCCAGATTTGTTGAACTTCTTTAACACAAGATGCTTACAATCACATGCTGTATGCACGGATAACTGCAATATCTCTCCATTTGAAATCCAACATGAACCTGATTTTGCAAAGGGAAGACATTGAACTTGAGTAGATGAATCCATAATTAAAACAACTACTAGAATAAATTGTCCTTCTGATACTTACATTTTCTTCCTGTTGTATGCAGTGAATTAGTTCTTGGTTTAATTTGTTGTGTTGTTGTTATTTGCCATCAAGTTGGACCTAACTCATAGCAACCCCTCCTTGGGTTTCTGAGGCCTTATCACTATGGAAGTAGATTGCCCCATCTTCCTTCCGAGGAGTGGCTGGTGGGTTTGAACTGCTAGCCTTCTGGTTAGCAGTTAAGTGCTTTAGGCACTATACTATCAGAGCTCCCTTAGGCACTTTATTCACAAAAATTAAGAAGAATTTTTTATTTTAAAAAAAGTTTGTTTCAAAGAATGTTGAGATCTCATTTCTTCCCTCTATTTACTTTTCCTTCTGTTCAACCCAGTGCATAATTAAGATGCACTTGGAGTTCATTTAAATCTTGACTTGCCAAGAGTAAGTTCCAAAATTGAATAGTAAAGCTTGAGTGAAACATTTTTTTTTCTTTTCTAAGACAAATTTATATAATTCAATGAAGTATTTTTATTGCAAGTTCATTGTGGGCTAGGACCAGTCTTTGTTTTTATTTCAGTTCCCACTTGCCTTACCATACTGTTAACAGAAGAGATTGTTGTTGTTGTTATTAAGTGCCGTCGAGTCATTTCTGACTCATAGTGACCCTATGCACAGCAGAACGAAACACTGCCCGATCCTGTGCCAACCCCACAATCCCTGCTATACTTGAGCCCATCATCGCAGCCACCGTGTCAATCCATCTCATTGAAGGCCTCCCCCTCTTTTGTCGACCCTCCACCCTACCAAGCATGACATCCTTGTCCAGGGAATGGTCCCTTCTTACAACATGACCAAAATAGGT